CTTCTTCTCTGTGTCTGATCCTTTCTGCTGCTTTTGCACGGCTTCAGTGGATCACTGAACGCTTAATCGTATCGTTAAAGATGGGATTTTTAACGCGTGACTCCATCGCTTGCCTCTTCGCCGCCGTCTTGGTTGTCTTCCTCGTCTCTCCCCCTTCGGCGGCCCAACCGCTGTCCCCATCCCAGTACAAGACGCTCCTCCGCCTCCAGCGCCTCTTGGAGTACCAGCCGCCGCTCGCCGGCTGGTCCAACGCCACCGCCTTGTGCTACCTCCCCGCCTCCCTCTCCCTCTCCATCTCCTGCTCCGGTGGCCGCGTTACCGGACTCTCCATCGTCGGCGTCGCCGACCGGCCCCTGTCAGCCAACTTCTCCTCCGATTCCTTATTCACCACCCTCGCCAGGCTCTCCGGCCTCACCACCCTCTCCCTCGTCTCCCTCGGCCTCTGGGGGCCGCTCCCCGGCAAGGTGGACCGCTTCTCCTCGCTCCAAGTCCTCAACTTGAGCTCCAATTACTTCTCGGGGCCGATCCCACCGGCGATCTCCAACATCACCAGCCTCCAAAATCTCTGCTTGACCGGGAACTCCTTCAACGGGACGGTTCCTGACCTCAGCCCCTTGACGACTCTCACCGAACTGGACTTGTCGGGGAATCACCTTGGGCCAGAATTCCCCTATGTGAGCAGTAGCCTTGTCAGCTTACTCCTTCAAAACAACAGCTTCCAAGACCGTCTCCCGCCTCGACTCGCATCCTTCGGCCACCTCCAGAAGCTGGATTTGTCTTCCAATCATCTCCATGGATGGATTCCTGCGTTCTTGTTCTCGTTACCGTCAATGCAGTACCTCGACTTGTCTGGCAACAGGATGACGGGAGAAGTTCCGGCGAATTCGTCCTGCGGCAGCCAGCTCGCATACGTTGACATCTCAGACAATCTTTTGGTGGGAGGTCTGCCTTCATGCATCCAAGCGAATTCCTCGAACCGAGTAGTACTCAGCTCAGGGAACTGCTTGAATTCAGATGATTTCGAGCTCCAGCATCCGAATTCTTACTGCAATCAAGGCGCGATGGCCGCGATTTTGCCTTCGGCAAATAAAATCAGTGGATCCAAGAGCAAGCTGGGCCTTATACTTGGCATTGTTGGGGGAGTCGTCGCTGGTGCAGTGCTGATTGGATTACTGGTCTTCTTGCTGTTTAGGAAGATAAGAACAGAGGATGCAGAGGTCAGCACCTTTCACACACCCACTGCAGGGAAATCTCTTATGCAGGTTGCGCCAAGAAGTACAGCTGAAGCAAGTAAGAAGGATTTGTGTGATCTGTTTTCTTCCTGTGTTGCATGTTCACTGTGTTGTCGATTCAGTTTCTATTCTGATCTGATCGCAACTCGCTGATGCCAAATTTTGATCCTTTTTGAAGGGCACATGTCTCATGCAATGCGGAAAGGGACTCTTGGGCTAATGCCGTATCATGTTTTCAGTATGGAGGAGCTTGAAGAAGCGACTGATAGTTTCGATTCATCAAACTTGATCGAAGATGGTCCTCGAGGACAGGTATCGATTTGAACCTGCAAAAAAAATTTAGTTATTTTTGTATCAAATAATAACAAACTCAAGCTTGGAAAAATTCTCATTGTTTACCAGCCTGCTTGCTCTGATTTTGCCTTCAGAATGTATTGGTAAAAACTCTCATTTGCATCTTTTGCGGTCCAAATTTTGGTTCGTGTCCTGTTCATTTTTTTCCCTGCTGAATGAAACAACTGAGGATCAATGAAGATGACTGGTTTTTCTGTCTCCTGCAGTTAAAAACACTAAATCATAGTGCATGCTGCCATGCTTTCATTTGCAAAGATATTGTTTCTAAGGACAAGTGCCAAATATTTTGTATATCCAAAGACGAAGGACTCAGTTCCCTGATTACAAAATATTGGTAAATAAGAAATCATAACAAAATCATTCTGCATGTATGTGAAAGATGAATAGCAGCTTTATATGCAGAACTTTCTGCAATAATATCTTTCAAAAAAGCCAAGGCAATAATAATTCATTTGGAAATCCTAGATGAAGACATCTGTTATCAATATGTGAACAATTTTAAGTCAAATAAACCTCATAATTTATGTGGATATTTTTTCACCATGATTGGACCTTAAGAAGGTTGAGTGTCTCTATTATCCATGGGATGCACTCAAATTATTTCTAGCAAAAGACCTCATAGGCAATAAAAGGCTCTCTACTAGGTAGAAACATGAACCTGATCATTTCGTATACATCATTTGCTATAAGTTTAGCTTGTAACATTTCATTTTTAAGAGAACCCAAAGATATCTATCGCAAGGCTATTATACAGTGCTGCAATCTATTATGGAGTCTGTTTAATGGTTCCCTCTCTTAAATGATACACGCTGGTGATGGAGATGATAAATACTAAATTTTTCCAGCATTCAACATTTCCATTTCATGTTTCACTTTATTTCTTGTCATAACCACCTGGAAAAAATATTTTGCTGAACTCTCTAAACTGTGAATGTGTGTATTCTCAGTCTTACAAAGGTTGGCTCCGGGATGGCTCTTGCATCGTCGTTAGATGCCTGAAATTGAAACAAAAACTTTCACGACAGAGCCTACTTCAGTATATGGAAATTGTCTCGAAGCTCAGGCACCGTCATTTAGTCAGCATTGTCGGACATTGCATTGTTAGCAGCCAGGATGGTGCTAACACTAAGGATACCATCTTTCTTGTATCTGAGTACATCAATAGTGGAACTCTGAGATATCAACTTAGTGGTAATAGCAAAGGCAAAGTTTCTCTTGATTTATATGAGGTTCATGATGAAACTAGAGGATTTCATTACTATTGTTTTATTAATGACTTGTGCAGAATGGAGAGAGCACGAAACAATGAAATGGCCGCAAAGAGTGTCAGCTGTTATTGGAGTTGCAAGGGGAATCCAATTCTTACATACTGTTGCAGTTCCTGGTATTGTTGGAAATGATCTTAACATGGATAATATATTGTTGGATCAAACTCTCACCACGAAGATTCGCAATTACAATCTTCCAACACTTCCAAATTTCAAAAACAACAGGGTAATGCATCAATGATTCCAGCTGAAGTTGTTCGATTATGTTCTGTGTTTTAATTGTATCTGAGTCTCTATCTTTGATCTATCAGGTAGGCTGTGACATCCCTTTGACTAATGCAGCCGATAAGGGAGATCTTGGCAGGTAATATATCTTGTCCGAATGATTTCAACCACAGTACATGCGAAGATTCATTTCAGCCAATACATGGTCATCTTGTTAAAATCCTAAATAGATTGAATCTAAATTTTTCTTTTCTGTTCTTGCGGTATTCGCAGTGTCGAGAATGGTGAAAAAGAAGATATTTATCAGCTTGGGCTCATTCTTTTAGAGGTTATCACAGGGAAATCAGCAGGGTCTAAATATGAGTTAGATTCTCTCAGGCATAAGGTAAAAATGGACTTCTCCTCTGGCTTAAGTTGAACATAAAGAAAAGGAAAGAAAACGAATGTCTAATGTATCACCCAAAAGATAATATCTGCATAGGTATTGGAAATGAGTGTTAAATTTTAATGGCATCTGCCAAAAAAAATAATTGTTTTCTGTTAAAATGATCAGTAAATAACATGTCAACTGTGGCAACTTATCATATAGCACATGAACTACTTGTTTCAGCTTCAGAAAATTTTAGTAGAAAACCCAGCAAACCTGAAAGGACTCACTGACGCTGCAATTCGCGAAAGTTCTGCTCTCGACTCCTTAAGAACAGCAGTGGAAATATCCCTCAGTTGTACATCCAGAGATCCTAAGCAGCGCCCATCGATCGATGATGTGCTATGGAACTTGCAATACTCTGTGCAGGTCCAAGATGGCTGGACAAGCAGTGAAAGGTTAGACATCCAAATCTAGTTCCGGAACTGACTTCCTACTCTTCATTCTCCAGTGGTGATACAAAAAACTTGGTGCTATCTGAAATCACAGTGGTATGATGATTTGTATATTCACATGAGCAACTTTATATACAAAATAAGATTGCATTTGTACATTATGTGATCAAGTTGTTCAAATATATGAGAGCTTTGCTGAAGGTATACATTATAGCATTCTGTATCTCAAGTGCAGTTCAAAAGTGTTCTTACCATGGAGTAAGGTCACTAGAATCATTTCTTTTATATGCATTAGCAAAACAATATAATCATGAACGTGCTTTGAACAGTGGACTATAATATTCTGTCAGCTAAATGCATTTACTGAACTCAAAGATACCAGCGACAATCTTTGTAGATCATCACAGTTTGATCAGATGAAGATGGCTGTTTCTGAAAGAAGAGGATGTTCATAGCAAACATGAAGCCTTCAAAATATGCAACCTGATATTGAGTTTTCATACTTACCAAAAAAAGGTTCAGTTTTCAATGTATCATTCTAGTTCACAATGGAATTCATTTTAACATGGAAAACCACAAATATTTTGGATCCACATTTCCATGTGAAGGAAAAAAAAGAAAAGATCGAGCAGCTCCTACTTATGACTGTACACAAGTCTATATGTTGTAGTCATAATTCAGTGTGTTGGAAAGGTTGTAAATGTATAAATAAGAGTTAGCAAATGTGTCCATGGAATGTATGAATCAGTCTTTGAGATGCAGATATAGCTGTAGGAGGTGATGAGGTCCAGAAGACAGACATGTTTACAAGGGCCGGAATATAATTTCAAGAACATCCGTGGGGCAAGAAGGAAAAAATTTCCTCCATGGAACACCATTTAAATTTGATTTATCAAGCTGCTTATTTTGGTGAAGCAGCCCTGCCAAACTCAAAGTCCATTTGGTATCAATTGTTATGAGCCTATAATCACACAAATTTTTATGCATAAGGATCATTGGATCTACCAAAGAAAATAAGGAAGATAGTACTACTGCTGTCACATTGAAAGCAAATGGCATCAGGGCAAGTACATCAACAGCTATATTTTCTAGTGTCATA